TTGAGTATACCCTTGAGCAACAAGTCTAGCCTTGTTTCTCACTATATTACCACTCTCATCAAGCTTATTTCTAAATACCCATCTAGTACCTACAGTAGATTTATTTCTAGGCCTTTCAACTAATGTTCATACTTTACTTCTCTCAAATTGATTTAACTCTTCTTGTATAGCCATAATCCAATGTTCATCATTTAATGCTTCTTTAATATTCTTAGGCTCTATGCATGAAATAAATGCAACATAATTACAAATATTTCTAAGAGAAGATCGAGTTGTTACCCCTTTTGATGGATCACCTATAATTTCACCATCCTTGACATAGTTGTACTCTCTTGGATAAGATACTTCCCTTTCTTCAATGGTTGGATTCTCAAGAGGATCATGAGTTTCCTCATTTTTCGTTTCTTCCTTTGATGATGGTTCTCCAACGTCATGTCTAACGTCATTTGTATTTATAACACCTACATCATCATTCACACAAGAATCCTTCCTCGGGAAGGGGATTATCATTGAAAACAACGTGTATAGACTCTTCTACAACTAAAGTTCTTTTATTAAATACACGATAGGCTTTAGAATTTAAGGAATAACCCAGAAAAATTCCTTCATCACTTTTAGCATCAAATTTGCCAAGGTTTTCTTTACCGTTGTTTAAAACAAAACATTTACATCCAAAAGGATGAAAATAACTAATGTTAGGCTTTTTATTTTTGAAAATTTCATATGGAGTTTTCTTTCAAATTGGCCTAATCATTACTCGATTTACAACATAACAAGCGGTATTTTATGGCTTCCGCCCAAAAATATTTTGGCAAATTATTTTCACAAAGCATGGTTCTAGCCATTTCTTCTAAAGTTCGATTTTTCCTCTCAACAACTCCATTTTGTTGAGGGGTTCTAGGTGCTGAAAAATTATGGCTAATACCGTTAGAGTTACAAAATTTAGTAAATCCAAGATTTTCAAATTCAGTTCCATGATCACTCCTAACACTAGTTATAGAGTAACCTTTTTCATTTTGGATTACTTTTGAAAATGTGATGAATTGTTCTAATGCTTCATCTTTAGTATTTAAAAATAGAACCCACGTATATCTAGAATAGTCATCTTCCAAGACAAATGCATATTGTTTTCCACCCAAGCTAGTAGTTCTAGTTGGCCCAAAAAGATCTAAATGGATCAATTGTAAAACTCTACTAGTTGATACATCATTAATGGATTTAAAAGAAACTCGCTTTTGTTTTCCTTTAGCACAAGCATCACAGATTTTATCATTATCAAATTTAAGCTTAGGCAACCCTCTTACTAGGTCTCCTTGAATTAACCGTTGCAAAACACTCATACTAGCATGTCCTAGTCTCCTATGCCATAACCAACTATCATGTTCATCCTTAGCAACTAGGCATAAATTAGTCATATCAAAAGAATCTAAATGCACCATGTATATATCCCTATTTTATGACCAATAAGCATAATCGAAAGTAGATGCAATGTCAATCAATTTTGTAATCATTTAAAATAAAAAATTGTATCTTTTATCAAATTTATTTTTCAAAAGATTATGCTTTTAACCCATTCACATATAAAACATTATGCAATGTTGATTATAGAGAGTAAGAGCACATGCATAAAGTTTTTGAAAATGTTATGCATTAAAACTTTATAATATTTAAACAAAAATCTATGCATAAACATTAAAAATTTCAGATCAAAATTTTGCAAAACCAAAGTTCTTGAAAAATCAATATCAATTATTAAAGAGATATCAATTACATTTTAAAAAATAATTTTGACCAAAAATTAATATGATGAACTAGAGTTTATAAAAAAAAATTACCATGTTCATCATACAATATTTTTCAACTTACATGAGACAAAACATAATCATTTAGAATTATTTAACATTTAAAACCTCATGCATGCATAGAATAAATGAGCAACCAAATAAAATAAAATAAATTAAGTTTAGAGGTTACCCATTACTTTTTCATGTGTGGCTAGAGCATCTTGAATATCATCAACTTCATCACCATTGCTCCCACACACCTACAAGAGACATTTAAGTAGATTTTGGTATCCAAATTGCTTTGGATCCTTGAACATTAGTTTCAATGCCTCTTGTTCCTTTTGGAATCCATACTTGTCTAATTTTAAATCGTTTTCCTTTCTTTAAAGGACAAGTATGTTCCTTATGACCATGATAATGACAATGCGAACATATTGTCATTATTGAACTAGATGAATTATTTAGAATGATCTCTTTTTATTTTGTTAAACATTCAAGCTTATCATTTAAATTGAAATTTTCTTTTTCAATACTTTCAAATTTCATTTTTGAGAGTTCTAAATCCTTCTTCAAGATTTCATTTTGATTTTCAAAATCCATTTTCATTTCTAGAAGAAGTTTGTTTAATTTGAAAATTTCTTTTTCAAAGTTTTCAGATTTTATTTTTGAAAGCTCTAACTCCTTTCTCAACATTTCATTTTGATTTTCCAAGTTTGTTTTAGCTTTCAAAAGAAGATAATTTTTAGCAATAAATTTAGAAATCAATTTATTGTATTTGGAGTTCATGGTCTCAAACTCCGAAAATAATTTATCATAAGCATCTTGTAACTCATTAAAAGATTTTGAATTTGATATATTTGAGTTAGAAGATACCTTTGGCTCTGTGAGAGCTAATAGAGACATCACTTTTATTGGTTCTTCTTCTTCCTTGTCTCTATAGATCTCCTCAAGCTTATCCCACATTTTCTTGGCACTTGAACAATAAGAAATTCCTTTATATACATTAGGATCAATTGCACAACACAACATATGCATAGCCTTTGAGTTTTGTTGAGCTTCATTCCGTTCTTGAATACTCCACTTCTTTGCCTTCTTAGTAGGAGAGGAATATCCTTTCTTGATTATCATCCAAGCTTCCATATCAAATGCTTTGATGAATATCATCATACACCTCTTCCAATGACGATAATTTGTTCCATTGAAGTGTGGAAGCACGTCAATTAGTCTGGATTATTCCATGGAGAATGAACCGGAAGTGTACGTCATCTTTATCGATTTAACTCTTCCCGAATCGACTCAAGAGGTGATTAAACCTTCAAATGAGTTAGGCTCTGATGCCAATTATTGAGTTAATCGATTGACGGAATTGACCAAGAGGGGGTGAATTGGCAATTAAAAATTTGGTGGAAGCTTTTGCAGAAAATTGAAAGTAATTGCACAGCGATTTAGAGTGGTTCGACTTTCTCAATCAAAGTCTACGTCCACTACCTTAGCTATCCACACTAAGGATTTTCCAACAAATTCACTAATTTGTTCTTTTTTTGAGGCTAAAGAGATAACCTTACAACACCCTCAAGAATATACCCCAATTCTTGAGAACACTCTTTCCCAAAGAGAAGATTACAAATTTGTAAACTTACAAGGAAAACCTCTCAAGGTAAGATGTTTGCACAATTCTAGAACAAGAAAAGAACACTCACAAATAATTACAAATGAGCACAAATGGTGTTCTTTGAAAGCAAAATGAATATTGAAAGGAAAAATGGCTTGATTTGCACAAACTTGGTGTTTGATGCTTTTTCTTTTGTTTCTCTATGATTTCTTGTTGATCAAGGGCTTCAGAACTTGTTTAAATACACCTTGAATCACTTCTGAACGTTGGGGATGATTAGTGAAGATCATATAGCCGTTTTAGTGTGAAAACAATTAATAAAACAGCTTGGAGCGTGGGGGGAATCGGTACCCCCTATAGGGAATCGGTTCCCTAAGTGAAAAATTCAAATATTTCGACCGTTATACAAGGGGGGAATACCCCCTGGGGGGGAATCGGTTCCCTCCGAGCATACTGGAATTCTCGGAGCCAAACCATTCAGGGGGGAATCGGTACCCCCTTAGGGGGGAATCGGTTCCCTCTGAGCAATCTGGAATTTTTGGCTTTGAAATGGTTCGAAATACTTTGTAAAATTATTTTGAAATTGTTTTAAGATTAAAACTTAATTTTACACTTTGAGTAAGGATTAAAAATGACATTTGAAAGATTTGGAGTAATGTTTTGATATTCGAATAATTCTATCGAATACACTTAGAAAATCATTTGTAAAATCTTAAAATTCATTTAACTTAATTTGTTATATCGAAATATCAAAATGTTTTCAACAATATATCATTATTTATAATAATTAAAAATAAATATATTTTAATTTATTAAAGCTATGATCAAATTTAAAGAATATATAAATAACATGGACTATTTGTGTAATTATACCATCCAAGTAAGTCTGTTAACTGCTATTGACAGGTCACATGTATTTTTCGTCACGTCTGTTAACGGCGAGTGACCAATTTGTAACAAACGATAACGTTAGTGATCGATTTGTAACTTTTAAAACATCAGTCGTGAAAACGAAAACTTACCAAAACATTAGTGACCATGGAGTAGTTTACCTAAAAAATTATTTAAATTAAAATCAAATAATATCATAATATTATAAATATTTACAATTAAATTTAAACAAAAACTTAAAATTATGAATCGACTCGACTCGAGAAAATTTCAAGTTAAATTCGAGTTATAAAATATAACTCATCAACTAGAATTACTTAATTTTTTTTATTAAACTCGACTCGATCAAATGCTCATGCCTACAATACTTATTTTGACATTAATTAAAGAATAATTTAATTATTTATATAAAAAATTAAATACTTTAGGTATCTATGTTAATAAAGAATACTTTAGGTGTTTATTTTTACTTAAAAAAATTTAGATATTTATTTTGATAAAAAAATACTTTAAATACTTAAATATAAAAAAAAATATACTTTCAATACTTGTTTGTGATATGAGCTTAAAAAATTGATTATTAAAATAAATAATAATATAATGATTAATGCTACAATTTACATTTTCTTATTACAGATAAAACAGAGAAGTCGAGAGATAGATCGTAAAAGTGGGGCTTCTCTCGAAATTAGAAATTTTCTCGAGTAAAAAATTGTTCTCCATGCAGAGCGGTCCTCGGCTGCAACAGTACAATCATAATCAGCAGTTTCAACAACAGCAACAGCAACAGGTTCAATTTTTCTGTATAATGATGACTCACTGAGTCTGCAGTCGGATTTTGTAGGCGCTGTTGCTGCTGCATCCGCTTCTGCTTCTTCTTCTTCTTCTTCTGCTGCTGGTGCCTTGTCTAATCTTAAGCTCTCTAACGGTTTGCATTCCAATGAAGGTTCGTTTATGATTATTATTATTATTATTGCAAATTTTCCGTGCCATCAGTTTGTCACTTTTAGGGTTTTGCCACGATGTCTTGCAAGTAGATTCATGCAATAAACTTTGTTTTATGTTTCGCTTCACAAAAATTTCCCTTAAAAGAAGGTTACCTTACTGATTTCGAGTGTATTCTTTGGTGTTGGGCGATTATTTTTACTAAATTATTTATTTCTTTTTCTACTTGTTTTTTACTTCTGAAAGGGGAAAAAGGTGTATCTGGAGATATATATATGTCATATATTAAAAGTTTAGACCAGAAGAACAAATTAAATTTTTTGATTTAATTGGTAAGATTATTATATGTCACATATTAGCCGTTTGCTCATTTTTATTTTAATGTTATTATGCTTTAATTCTTTGGTAATTTTTGAAATTTTTTTGAAAGTAAAAAAAAGAAAAAACAAGTCGAAAAAGCCATAACTAGTCGGGTTTTTCTTGAAAGCTGTTTTTATTTTATGAATTTTGAATGTCTCGATCATTTACGATGTATGTATGAAGGTATTTAAGTCTGTTTAACTTCTTTTATAGCAATGCTATAGAATCCACCTAAGGCTGGTATGATCTTTTGAAATTAGAATTTTTTTAGTCCTGATCTTGGAATTACATCCTGAGTTAAACATGGATTGGGCCTTCATTTTTCTTACTATTAATCGAGGAACTCCTGTGTTAAAATTAGCCTTTTTTAGTTTATTTGGAGCACATCTTGTTGTTCACTTTTAACTAATGGGGAAACTTTCTATCGAGAATTAACTTCTAGATTTGGCAAGGTCATATGACTAGCTTATGGTGTGTAACTGGTAATAACGATTGACAAGTGAAAATTGAACACCAATGTGATGCAAGAATTGGGAGTTTGGGCTCTAATCAGCACATAAATTTGAGAACTATCTCTTTGCATGAATCATTTCCAGTATAGGTTCAGTTGAAAATTTTGACCTATAGAAGTTTTAGGTGTTAATGACAAAGTTAAATCAGGATGTGAATTTGAAAACTTATGAACTCTGGAGCATCTGGTGTCCATGATAAGGCAGCTCATTTGCTTGGTAAGGTAGCTCATGCAGGACTAAATAGAGTCCCACCTATCATCCATTATGTGTCTCTGTTTACTTTAGCTTAAAAAGATTCATTAATTAAATATTGTGGTTGGGAGTGCACAACTGCACATTTCCCTTTCACATCATTGTGTTCTGCTTGGGGGTTTGGCAACTATAATAACCATGTCTATCTGGAAGACCTTTCTAACATATCATATTTGATAGTTTTTTCTCTCTATACCTTCCATTTTTAGGTGAAGTTTAGTTGACATAACAAGGTCTTTATATTGATAAATGCTGAAGGGCTTCTATATTTATGTGTTTCAGTTGATGACAACACACTCATGGCACTTGCTCATCAAAACTACAAGGCTGGGAGCTACAAGCATGCTTTAAAACACAGCAGTGCAGTTTATGAGAGGAACCCGTGTCGTACTGATAACCTTCTTCTCCTGGGTGCAATTCATTATCAGGTTGTTTCATAAGTTTTGCTTGATATCTGTCACGCATTATTTTTTACTTATCACAACAACGTCCACTTGCTCATAAGATTTATTGCCTTGCTTGGTTGATTCATGATGTTTTTTTTATGGTCATTTATTTAACTATCGGCTCTGCACCCTAGTCTTTTCAGAGAGAAAAAAAGGAAAAAGAAAAAGAAATCTGCACTTATGTTATGAAACTTATTTTTTATCACAAGTTTTCCTTCTTAGCTCCAGATTGCTAAATGCTTTATTTGGAATATGGAGGAATAAATGCCTCTGAAAGTGAACACTTTATTGTTCTCAGTTGCATAATTATGATCAATGCATTGTGAAGAATGAAGAAGCTCTTAGAATTGATCCACACTTTGCGGAGTGCCATGGGAATATGGCAAATGCTTGGAAGGTATCTTCTGAGTGTCTTTGATTGTAGCTGCTTTTCAGTTTGTTGTCCTTTTCTGGTGGCATATGCATTAATAATGCTTTCTGCTGCAGGATAAAGGCAATATCGATACTGCAATCCGGTATTATTTGTTTGCAATTGAGGTTAGTAAACAGTGGTTAATGTGTTTGCTTTGTGGTCCCCATCATGTATTGATTATCTTTTTCTTATTTGAAGCGTTTGTGAAATAAGAAGTCAGCATTCTTTATTTTTTTCTTTTGCATTGTCTTTTTAATTTTTATACCATATTTTGATTAGAGAATTGATAGTACGGTTTAGAACCTTCCCATTATCATATCAGGATGAGAGAATATTTTACACTTTCTTTTTAGATTTCACCCTGGCGAAACATTCTACCTAAACAGTGCTCACTTTATTTATTTGTGATTATATATTGACATGTTGGAATCCCCTGGGCTGGCAGGTTAATTACAACATTTTTAGCTTGTGATGGGAGCTTCGGTGCAATTCATCTGACTTTGTCATTTGAAATCAACTAGGATAGCCTTACTCGTGTCCAAGTTAAATTTTGATGTGCCTTCCTTTTTCTACATAATTATCAGTTGGTTTAAATAACCAGGACAATCTAGATCTTACATTTGTATAAATATATATAAAAGTTCATTTTGAAATACTTGGGTGTGAATAACTTCTAGGAGAAGTGTTATTAAGATAGAGTTATGTTTGTACGAAGTATTATCACTAAAACTGTCAAACCATAACCGAAATATGATTGTGGTATTTGTAAAAGTAACTTATATGTAAGCATTTGCACTTCTTTTATTTCTGAAGAACAATTTATGGTTGAAAATGAGACAAGAAGATGCCATGCTTTAAATTGTCTTTATTTATTTACTTGTAAATTTATGGCTGCAATCTGAAATGCATGTAGTTTACTCTATATGGGCTACAGATTAAGTATACACATATACTTCTCTATAAGTTCTACTTTTTTTTTTAATTTGTACGTAGTGGTCTATGATTGATTATATGGCACATTATAGAGTTTTATCTTTATCTTTTTTGCTTTGATTCATGAACAATATATATGTTTTGTCTACTTTATATTAAATGTTTTTAGGTTAATTTTGTTTACTCTAATGATCTACCGCTAAGAAGGCCTCTTTTCCTGGGACCATAAAACACTTTTTCATCTGATGTAAGCCTTGACCTTTGGCTTTGGGATCCAAATATGTTAAGATCATAAAATTATTCTAAGGAGCTATCAGTTCTTCATTACTTTCTCAAAATGTTTGTGTTTTAATTTCTTTGTATTTGAACTGGTAAAAAGTATGTATGATTTGTAAAGTCTTACATATATTTACAACTGAATTCCATTATTGATTGAAAGCATGCTGTAATCTTATCCAAATGTCATGCCATGGAAAAATCCATGTATGTATTGATGCTAACTTTCCTTTGTTTCTTGCCCTCGCAAAATCTTTAGAATAACTAAAACCAGCAGTCTCATGCGACTGATGATCCATTGTTATGCTCCGTTTTTTGTCTGTTAATACTGACTGCATAATTTAATGTTTTGCTATTCATTTGTTCACTTCTGTTTGAATTTTGATTTTGAAGCTTCGACCTAATTTTGCTGATGCATGGTCAAATTTAGCAAGTGCGTACACCCGGAAAGGGAGACTTAATGAGGCAGCCCAATGTTGCCGCCAATCGCTTTCATTAAATCCTCGTTTGGTACATCTTTTTTTTCTATCTTCTTCCCACATACATGTTTGAAAAATTCTGAGATTATTATGGAATTCCATGTGTTGATAGGTTGATGCTCACAGTAATCTTGGCAATTTAATGAAAATTCAAGGATTTGTGCAAGAGGTAAGGGAATGCCAATGTCGTCATTTTCCCTCAATTGTTTGATGTTGTTTGTTTTGAGGTGCTCTGGCTACACTACAAATGTTGGTCGTTATTGGTTTGGCTGTCTTGGTGATAAACTAAATCATGTGACATGTATGCTTCAGAAACTTCATTTAGATCTCTGTTCCTATTGACTGGAGTGCAGTGTTTTGCCATTTGGATCTTTCTCCGGCCAAGTGATTCTTATAGATTCCTGAACTGGTATAGATGCAAGTTTTTGCTACACGAAATTGGTCTCTTTTCCTCTATTGGGAAAGATTTAGATCCTTTTATTTTTATGTTAAAATATGTGATGCCATGTACTGTTTTTTGTTAATCGTGGTGACTTAAATCCTTCCTGTGAAATGTTGAGGGTTTGAAACCCTTGCTTACATGGAGACTTTAAAGTCCTGGTTTCCTCTCTTTTGTGTTTATTTGTGTTAATCTCTTTAGTATAGCTTTACTTCTGATGTGTTTATATTAACAAGCTAGAGCTATGCTATGCATGATATTTTTGGTTTGTTCTTTTTTTCTTTTTAAAAATTGTTTGATTCATTCTACTTATAGGCTTACAATTGCTACCTTGAGGCATTACGTATACCACCGAATTTTGCAATTGCATGGTCCAATCTTGCTGGGCTTTTCATGGAGGCTGGTGACCTTAACAAAGCACTTCAATACTACAAGGTATGTGTTACATACTGTAATGAATTTTGGCATCAATCTTCAAGCCCACAATCCATTCCAAAAGATCTTTTATGATTCTCTGATATTGGGTTTAACAAGTGATTTTAGGTCTCTTGCTTGTTTTTGTAATTTGCATTATATTTTGGTTTCTCTTGGAAAAATATTTGGCTCTTGCTTTATTATGTAATTTGTATCAATTGGTTGTGGATTTGAGTCTTCAGTTTATTGAATCCATTCATTAGTTTTGCTTGAAAAAACTATTTAAAACTAATATGTTGGATAAAAAGACCAAGAAGTAAAGAAACTTTTTCCCCTCAAGGCTAAACTTTATAATGAATTTATTATAATTTCTCATTTACTTTTAAAGATGTGTCTATGTACACGCATCTTACTTTTGAACTCTTTTTAGCCACACTCCGCATGTCCAAAAGTTTGAGCAAATGGCGAGTCAGAACCTTAGTCTAATATCCAAGTCTCTGTAACTTCGTTCACAGCTCTTTCATATATTTTTGGCTAATTCATAATTTTACTATTCAATCAACTGTTATGTTTTGGCTGAGAACTAATATGTTTTTTTTGATAGGAAAGTAGGCCTCGTTAAAAATCCCCTTCATGATTAATGGAGCACAAGGTGCTCCTTAATTAGCGGAAGGAGGAAAAGAGTGCCGTAGGATTCATTAATAACCGAAATATACATAATGTTTAAAAACAAACATAATCACTCCCTTTACAATAACCAACCCAAAGACTAAATTAGCTAATCCCAACAGTAAACTAGCCAATACCAGCCTTAGCTAAACTATCAGTATCAACATTGGCTGACCTAACAACCCATCTAATAATACCATTCAAGTCCCATAATTTAGTAACAATATCTTTCACTAAGTTTACGTAGACACAGGGACATCGATCGTAATTCTTGACCCACTCCATTGCTAGTTTACTATCTGTTTCTGTAACCCCCTCAGACCGATGCGGGTAATCCGATCCGATCTGGAGTGTCACATTAGGGCCACCGGAGCGACCCACTCTAAAAATAGCAGAAAATTTAAAACATTTTATCAAAACATGTAAACTCATAAAATCATTAATCAGTATGTTTAATTAAAACAGATTTTCAGACTCAAATATAAAATAAAATATAATTACATGCCCCCTAATCACATGTACCATACTTTGCATGATGTCGATAGCTGCACTGGTACAATTCTTTTAACTTGCAATGGTGAGTAATAAAGTGAGCTTCGGAAAGCTCAGTAATACAGAACTACCAGATGATGCTGAAGAATGTGCAAATACAGATAAACATATTTCCTTATTAGTTCAGATATTTACAAATTTTTAGGCTGACCTGAGATCCTACTGATATTTCAGGTGGTAACGGACAATGAGCTTTCAGTTCAGAGAAATATTTTGGATGACTGAGTTCTGGAGATCAAAATAGGTTATCTAGTGTGTTCCCGTAAAACCAGTAAAAATAAAACCAGTAAAAAGATACAGTTTTTTTTAAAACATATATATATACCCCCATCCTTTCACATCATAATGTGTAGGTTCTCCAGAATCATACACCCAACCGCACATGCCATTTAGACCCTGAGCACAAAGCCGAGGAGTCTACATATAATCTTCCTCCAATCAAAACAGAATTCAAATCAGATATCAGAACAAAATCCATATCAGAAGTCAGAACAGAAACCAGGTCATGTATCAGAATAAAATTCAAGTCGGAAATCAGATAAAATATTTATGTGATTAGGGAACACACTAGTCTTTACAGATATTATTCAGAGATACTGGATAATCTTATCTGGTATAGAAACACGAATCTTTAGTTTATCGATAAAATGTCGGAAGTTAGAATCACTATTGGAAGAAATCAATAATTGATGTAATCATCAGTTATTCAGAATGAGACTTGAGCTGATAAGGAAGAAATGAAGGTTCAAGACCTTTACAATCTATGTCGATTAATTAGTTTATCGATCAACTCCAGATGAATAGCTCCCGGAAACAATACTTATCAACTTGTCAATTCATTAACCTTCCAGAGTATTTACTCTTTAATACCAAATATTATTATCCATAGATCATCTTCTGAGTCATCACTAAACAGATCTTAAGGAGATTAACATATATTACAATGCTCTTAATTTCATGTTCACGCTTTCACTATATCATGAACTGCTGACGTGCTTGATTTGTAATTCATGATCCATAAGAACATTACATCACATATGTTCATTAGCGTTTCCAGACTCATCCAAATCACTTACTTAATCCTTAGTCCTTAAGGTTACTTAACTCATTTAGCAATCAAGTCCATTACAAGTACTTCGGGGTTTTTCAGGGTAATTCGGACGTTTCTGAATTTCGGATACGTATTGTACTTCCGTTCAGTTCAATATGGTATTCTTGGTTGATTTGTCTAACGAATATCCACTTCTTAGTACCGAGTGTAATCTAGAGTTGAGTTGAGCTGTTTACTTCCAAAATTATCATAAATCCAAACTTAATGAGACAAACCAACATTCAAGTGGTACTTATATCATTCAAATAATGATACAACACTAGCATTTGTTGACCACTTAAGCTGCGTTCCATAACTTTTAAGAGCAGTAGAACATCCATGTTTATTTGGATTTCTAAATTAATCCAAGACATTTACTTATTCTAAGCCATAAGGATATTTTGGTCATTTTGATGCTCAGTTATATTCCATTCATTTTAGAGCTCAAGGATATCCAATCATTCCTGAGCTTGGTGATATTCTTGGTCATTTGCATTGTAAGGGTATTCTGGTCATTTTACAGATCCAGTGTATTACAATCATTTCTTTACGTCCGATCTTATTATCGAATTCAAACTTATCACTTATTTCAGTCATTTCGAACAATTCTGTCAAAAGAACACCCCCGATAAATTGTTCTTCAGGTTTTTACTCATAACTAGGATATTTTCGGGTCAAGTGCCTTCTCAGATTTTACAAACGAAATATCATGACTTTTTCTGTTCAAAGACAGGATCTTAACAATTAAATCCATACATAATAAAGTTAAGTACGAATCCTCAAAGTACTTTCTCATTCATGGTCAACTCGGACTATTTTACCTCTCAAAGGCATTTTCATAATTTTTTAACCAGATAATTTCGGTATCAACTCTTAACCAAATAATATAATTTAGAGATCTTATGATTAATTGCTTTCCCGAACATTCTCTGATCTTGAAATGATTCCCTTAACAGACTCCTAGATTCTTGCTCAAATCCTCTTGGGTTAAAAACCGATTATCTATATTTTCGAAGCAAAACTAGCATTTCTTATGCACATCAGTAGTTTCATCATATCAATATGTTTTTAAAAACCTCTTATCCAACTTCTATAGTCAAATCTTGTCTTTTTATAACGTAAAGGTATTTTCGTAATTTTATCCTACCGGAGTATTCTCATAATTTCTCATCCAAGTACCTTTAACATTTAACCTTTGATGAAATAAATTATAAGTTATAGATCCAGGTTGATTTCTTTATCACTGAGCACAGAACTTGTAATTTAATTCTAACAATCTCTCAATTTCTTATAAAAGTCATCTGAACCATAATCAATTACTGAACCTTTTTACCGTATTCAGATCGAGTGTAGAAATTAATTAACTACAAAAATAATACCAACATTATCTTAATCATGCATTTATCAATATTCACATGTTCCATAAAGCATAAAGAGGTAGTAAAGTATTACCTCGATTTACGTGGCATACTGATCGACCATATAAATTCCATTCAAACACCTTTGATCTTTAATTCAACTTCCAATATTTCCTCAGATCCATATCAACAGAAATTACATAAAAAAATGGTGCTTAATTTTGAAAAACAGATAGAATCGGGTGATAAATCAATCAAAAACAATTTACCGTGTTCGAGTTGGGCGAAACAAACCCCAAAAACAGATTCGGGCCGTCAAAAACATAAAATATAAATTTTCGAAAATTTTGACTTTTCTGTCAAAGTCAACGGGTTTGACTGGCAATTTCGAGACCTTCGAGTCCAAATTTCGAAAAACGAATTGCGGAATCAGACTCAGAACGTCGAAAAACGTAAGGATAGGTATACCCAGTCAAAGTCAAAGGTCGTTCAACGCCGGTCAACGGTCACTAGTCGACCGTTTTACACAAATATCACCCTAACAGAAATTAATTACAAAATTAGCACCCCTACGTGCAGTGGCAACGCGTGCGGCGTGTGAACAGTGATACGGTGTCGGAAAATTCTTGGAAAAATTCCTAATAATTATTTTAAGGCATTTTGAGACACTTACCGAGCTCGATTCACAATTTTGAACGGTGGAGAGCTCGATTCCAAAACATCGAAAACTTTGACTTTCTCACCCCTCCATGCGCCGCCGACGACGGAGAAACGGAGGACACCGACGGATTCGGAACGATGCAAGAAACACAATGGTGCGGGAGGTGTCGAAAACGGATGGTTGGATCGTCGTGAATCTACGAAAAACCAACTGAAATCTAGTTAATACCGACGATATTTCCTACTGAAATTAACTACGAACGACGACGATTCACGACGAAAGGTTTGAGGGGTTTTGTTCATCGGTCGACAACGAACACAATGGTGGTTTCGGTTCGTCGATCGGAGGTTGGATTGTGAGTAGATCGGAGTTCAAAGAAGGGTTGACGGGGGAGGGAAACTGGGAAGAATACGCAGAAACAATCGGGGAATGGGTTTATAATTCATCTGATAAAAATGGGTAAACCATGAGTTTAGTCTGAATTTTCTACACTTCTTAAAATGGTCTGTAAACTTTGAAATTTTACAATTTAATCCTCAATTTCTTCCAAAATACCAATTAAATTCACCACTTTATCATTTCTAAAATTTAGCCCATAAATTAGGATGTTACAGTTTTCATAATTAAGCGTTCCTTGAACCGCTGATGAATTGAATCAAAGAAAATTAAGCCCCTCTTTACTGCCATAAGC